AAAGCAAACTCTGCAAACTCAGCAGTTTTAGAGATATATATATTCTGTACTTAGAATAATTAGAGCAGTCTTGTTTACCACTCGTGTATGTAAGAACTTCGGAATAAAGTGTTTTTTCAAAAATTCCTAAAAAATTATTATTTTTTAAAAAAGTTAAATAAAAACCCAAAATCGAAACTAGATACTTCTTTTTTTAGTACAACTCGCCAAATATTTTAAGTTTATTATATAACACACCGAATATTGTAATAAGTTTGGGGAATCCCAATCAAACTGGGGGAATGCCATATGATTTTTATATTACATTTATACTATTTAATTAAATGTGCAGTTTATCTAATATGCATAAATAATTTTGTAAGTATAATATACTACATTACTAATATTTCAAAAGAATTTCATGTGGTAGTGACAGAAACGATTTGTGCCAAAACAATAAAAATTAATCAGAAAATTTTCACAGGCCTGTGTTAATAGTTTTGTTTTTTAAATTACTTCCTAGGTATATATTTTTAAATTATTATCAAGAAACTAAAATAGTTCATTTCTAACTCTCAGAACATTTCACACCGAAAAACTTCATTTATAGAAAAATGAAAAATTTGTCCATATTTTTTTCATGTAATTATTTTGTTGTACATACTAATTTGACACTTCTATTTTCCGAAAAGATAGAAGGAAAGTAGTTTTGAAGGAAGTGCAAATAATAATTTCTTAAACAAATAAATACACCAAGATGCAGTTATCATTAAACTTTTATTGCAAATTGGGCTTGTAATGTAAATTATTTTTTCTACTTTTTCGAGAAATAGCAAAAACTAGTATCAAAATTGACCTAGTCTATGCAGAGATTCAGATAACATTCTAGCCCTTTAGCTTGTTTGCCTTTCACTCTCGAAAAAGTAGCATAGACCAAATTTGTAGGAAGTTCTCTTTTGATCTAAAAGAAATTCATTAAAAAACAATTGAATTTTACATAATTATGTGTATACAAAATATGTAAACTGCAAGAAAGAAAATAAAACTATAATTTTTCTCTTCAAATGTTCCATATGATTTTACATATTTCAGATTTGTGGAAATGTGCTCAAATGTGGACAACCAAGCTTACCTCATAAATGTAGAGAAAACTGTCATGAAGGGGACTGCCCCAAATGCCCCCTAACCACTGTAGTAAGATGCCGATGTGGACATATGGATAAGGAATTGCCGTGCCAACAATTAACTTCTAAAGCTGATGATGCTAGATGTGAGAAGAAATGCACAAAGGTAAATAATACTTTGATAGTGTAAACCAACTTATAACCTTTTTTCTCATTAGAAACGTACATGTGGTAAACACAAATGCAATCAACGTTGTTGCATAGAAATTGAGCACTTCTGTCCTCTTCCTTGCAACCATCAGCTTTCGTGTGGCCAACACAGATGTGAACGTACCTGTCATTCTGGTCGATGTCCTCCTTGTATTGAAACGAGTTTTGAGGAATTATATTGCGAATGTGGTGCGAGCGTTTTGTATCCACCTGTTCCATGTGGAACTAAACCACCGGCTTGTAATAAGCCTTGCTCAAGGCAACGTCCATGTGGACACAACGTAAACCATAACTGCCACACTGGCCCTTGCCCTCCATGCACCGTCCTCTGTAAGAGATGGTGCCATGGACATCACGAGCAACGTTCAGCCATTCCCTGTCATCAAGAAAACTTCAGCTGTGGTTTACCTTGTGGTAAGCCAATGCCTTGTGGAAGACACAGATGTAACAAACCCTGTCACGAGGGTCAGTGTCCTTTGCCTTGCAAGCAACCTTGCAGTATTCAGAGGACCTTGTGCGGACATCCTTGTGGTAGACCGTGTCACAGTCCTCCTTGCCCTGAAAGCAATTGCAAGCAGAACGTACCAGTTACCTGTGCATGTGGCCTTCAGAAAGGTATCAGACCTTGCATAGAGGTATCGGAGGAATTTAAAAATATTGAAATGGCTAAATTAAAGGAGAAAATTGGTGATTTGTCGAAGGACCAGACTGTAGATATTTCGGACCTATATAAGCCGAAGAAACCAACTGTTCTTAAAGTGTATGTACATATTGCATATTATTTAGAATGTTCTTTCTATTCCAAAGCTTAAATTTTGCATATCAGATTTCCTGTGATCTTAATTTTTTTTCACACTTTTTCATTTATTAAATAAAAAAAAAACTTCAAAACACCACTAAAAATGGATCCCAATTTAAAAATTTATTTTTCTCATAAATGGTTAATCTGATTTAATTTTTTTTTAATCATGTCTACTTCCATATGTGAAGCTAACTAAAGTTCAGTTTGCAAAATATGCAGGATGCAAAAGAGGATAAACACTAGAAATGCATCACATAATATTGGGAATGTTCACATGAATCAATCTGTATCCCCCATCAGTTCTGAAGAATTGGTTTTTAATTCACATCATTATCTGTCTTATTGAGATGTACATTAAAAGCACATCAAATTGTAAAAATTAAAAATGGCGATATAAAAAATTACGTTTTTTATATTGTTAGCGAATACTCTAATAGGGTTGTTGACCAAATTTCAAAAAGTAGATAATATAATTCTACACGTACTAATTAGTGTGTATGCACAATTAGAGATTGAGAAATGCGTCGGAACAGTTTTAAAATAATTATTTAAAACTGATTTTTTTATAATATTTAAAAACGGCTGTGACGTCATAAGGGACACCTTGTAGTGAAATTATGTGTAGATGATTGCGTAAAGGAAAAAAATTGGCGGAAGAAGATGCTCTGTCAACACTGTCAGTAGTGTCAGTCTGTCAGTGACATTGTCGCATAAAATATTTTCCAGTCTATGAGTTATCTTCCTTAATCTTCGAATTCCTTTATTAAGTAAAATTATTATTTAGTAAGAATCATTTAATATCTTCCTTCCCTTAGAATTAAAGCAGTGTGTGAAACGAGATTTGTGAAAGCTACTTCGCAAATTTGACCGAAAATTGATATTTTTATGATCATGAATTGAATTTTTAAAAAGAGACGACCGTTTTAATATTGGCGAAATCAGAGGTATAAAAGCAGTCAGGTAAGGATTAACATATTTAATGAATGATTTTATTGTGTTTATTTATAATATAAATAATAAATATAAATACCTACTTATTTACTGAAAATTATAGTGCAGTTTGGGAGTCTTATGGAGATAATGCAATTGGCTATGTGGAATGTGGGATAAAACACCACTTAAATTTTGTTGAATCCATTACAATAAGGAAATTAATAATAACTATCACAAATACTCTTAATTGATAGACTACTGTCACTAGTGTCATTACTGTCACTTTTGTTTAAAGAATAGAAAACAGGACAAGGTTTGATGAAAAATTTTGATATATTTTCTTCTTCTTCAAAATTATGCAATAGGATCGCTACTAGCTTCTTGTTAAATTGCCCCTTATGACGTCAGACTAGTTTTTAAGTAACACAAAAATTCATAAATGATTTCTACCACTAATTTGTCATATATTTAAAATTTTACTATACAGGCAGGTTCTTTTATATAAAATCTTTGTATCAACAACAATTTGTATATGGTTTGTTTTTATAGTCAACAACCCTATTGCAAACGCAACACATAGGTTTCACTAAATATAAACTACCAATGCAGACCAGGAGTACAATACCAACTGGTGTGCCTGAACTGTAGCTTTAAACCTGCGTTATTTTTACAGTCACTTTATATTTTGTTTGATAGGCCATGAAATTTAATTTTTAACTCCCATCTTTATTGAAAATTAAGAGATAATTATAACAAAAATTTGAAGAGAATAGGGTTCACGAAAGGCTTGTGATTTTCTGTAAAGGTAATGTTTGTGAAGAGGCAGGAAGATTTCAAGTAATTTATGATTGCTTTTACAAATGACACCTGGAATTAGGAAGTGACTAATACGCAAAAATTAAAGACTAGAATGATACAAATCGATGACTGCAAGTCAAGAATAAGCGTACACAACCAATATAAATACCAACCAGAGGACTTGATCTCTAGTTGCAGAATCTTCATAACATAGAAAAAAGATATTGTGGCAACTAGCATGGAAATTATTCATCTTTTGACAACTGCCATGGAAGTTTTAGAATTAAAAAGTTGTAGATTACAAAAATTAGTAAATAATTTTTATAATCTACAACATCTCAAACATCTTTTTCTCTTTTTTTTTTCTATGTTGATGTAATCATATAGAGAAGCAGAAACTGTCACCAAGGGAAGCATTTATTAGTTGATGGTTTCTAAATTTTCTTCCCATATCGTCATTGATTTACTATTTTTTTATTGTTGGTATGTTTTATCTTCAGTTTTTAAATTGTTCCAACAAACGGTGTACTTTAACTGAACTAATAACAAAGCTAATGATGGGAATCAAAAGTAAATTGTTCAGAAAAGATAACTTGATTCAAGTAGGCTTTCGCTATTTTCGCAAATGGACTCCACATGGCGTATAAAATTTTAGAAAAAACTCTCTTGCGCCTTGCATGAGCTGAACAAAATTCAATAAAAAAATTTTTAACTTACAAGGAGAAGGTAAGGTAATCGGATTTTTGTAATTTTTGATATTTATGGTACGTGTAGTTTGGACCTTGAATAATTTTGAAGTTTTGCCTGCCAGCTAAATCCACTAGATGTGACACAATCTTCAACTGGGAGCTTCAAAATCGATTATCTCGGTAATTTATGAACGTCGCGTCGAACTACTTCGGAAAATTCTATTCAAGGTCCAAACTACACGTACCATAAATTTCAAAAATTACAAAAATCCGATTACCTTACCTTCTTATTAGGGTCGTAATTCTGGAATAAATTAAAAAAAAAGGTAATAAAAATTAGACCCTCCATTTTTAGTGATAAATTAATTTTGATTGCGCTTTAATGACTTGATCGCTATTAAAATATGGTTTTTACAGACTGGAATGTACCGAAGAATGTCGTGTTTTGGAAAGAAATAGAAGACTTGCTATTGGCCTACAAATCCGTAATCCTGATTTAAGTCAAAAACTAACACCAAAATATACAGATTTTATGAAGCAGTGGGCAAAAAAAGATCCACATTTTTGCCAAAAAGTACACGACAAATTAACTGAGCTAGTTCAACTGGCAAAGCAAAGCAAACAGAAAAGTCGCTCCTATTCTTTTGACTCCATGAACAGGGACAAAAGACATTTCATCCATGAATACTGCGAACATTTTGGTGTGGAAAGTGCTGCTTATGATACAGAACCAAATAGGAACATTGTAGCCACGGCTGTTAAAGATAAATCCTGGTTACCAAGTATGAGTTTGTTAGAAGTTATTCAGAGAGAGAATGGACAGAGGAAGGTACCTGGACCTTCCGTTCTTGGCAGAAGTACAGCAACCAAACCAGAAATCGTTTCTTTGCGATTGCCCTGCCAAACACAGAGACCAAACATGCATCCAGGTGAAATCATTGATTACTTTGATTCGCCGCCACAATTATAAAATGTTTTTCTATTTTCTTTTGTTTGAATGTTCAGTTATATCAATATCAGAATAAAATAGTTTATTTATGATGACTTGTGTTTTTCTACGTATTACTTATTTCTGGTATATATCAACTGATCGATTAAAAAATAAATTAAAACTTAAAAGCTAGGTTAATAATTTGGAATCACAATGTTTTATACAGGGTGTCCGTTAAAGAATGGGCCAAACTTTACAACTAGATTCTACGACAAAAATTAATGGGGAAAATTGTATACAATACAATAAATACTTTGAGCTAATTTTGTATCCGGGTTGTTTTTCTAACTTCTCAACAATTTCGTTGTATCTTCTAGACAGCGTCACAAGCGACCATTAGGACGCATTTAAACTGCCTAAACTTTTTTATACCATCGTGTATTTCGCTTTGGGTTGGAAAAATCTTTTCACCCTACTTTTCTGCTTAAAATGTATACCTTGGTAATATCTCTAAAGCCAGCCGTTTTGAACAAAAAGATTTAAATTTGTAAATGCATAAAAAATGTTTAAAAGTTATATGACTTCCCCATTAATTTTTGTCATAGAATCTAGTGGTAAAGTTTGGCCCAGACACCCTGTCCACATAATACTTCTCGTTTATCTTACCCTGACAGGACCAGCCCATTCCGGATAAACAAAAAAGTTGTTAAACAGACAATATTAAAAGCCACCTAAAACATTTAAAAAAGCTCCTTCCTTGTTTAGACAATTATTAGTGCAATATAAAATTTGAAAATAATGTAGTGAGTAGGATAACTGAGTGTCAGTTAAATGAGGTTTTACTGTAAACATCCTTTTTCAACAACTATGTTGCATATAAACTACTTATACATAGGTTTCATAAATGATTAAAAGCCATGTGATCGCTGAGCTTAGGCAACCAATATTGCTCGGCTGGTACTGGCAACGAAAATTCCCTAAATCTTGATACCACCAATATTAATGATTTGTCTACAATGAACAATGGCAAACCGTCATCTCTAAATTTGAGATAATGCGTTCGCTGATTGGTTGAATAAAATCTCGTGAACAATTACACCAATCGACAACCAGTGAAACAGAATGATGTGTTTTAATGTAATCTTGATCTTATTGTTTTAAGAATATTACAATTCCAAACAAAATTACTAGTCATCTGATTGTAATAATTTATGGAAGGTTCTGTACTAGGTAACTAAGTACAGGTAAACCAAATTCATTTGCCTCATTTTTAAACCATACTTAAAACATTTCTGTCCAAAAAAAAGCTCCACTAATATCATCTTTCTTATATCGGTAAGTCGCTGACTGCGCCACCTTTCTGTTATACGAAAGAGAGTTTTGAAATATTATATCGGGAAGTCGTTTATTTTTTCTTTTCTTTTGTTTTGAGATCTCCGTAGAGTTGCAGCAGACCTGGGCCCACCCCAAGAAAAAATCCTAGCTACGCCCATGATTATTATTAATCCAACAGAAAGAAGAGTGTGAAACATGGTCAATTCGTCGAGAAAGTTTCTGAAGGTTAAGTTGTATTTTTAATGTGAAACGTCAAAGTTATCCAACTTTGTAAAGTATTGTGTATTAAATTGTGCTAAATAAAAGAAATTTGGTACAATAACTTAATTTATAATTAATATAAAAATGTATACAGGAAATATTTAGTACTTAAAACTATTGGCAATAATGATTCAGGGTCAATCTAGCTGTAATATTCATTGCCTGCAACTCGGTCAACAGTAGTTTACAAGCATATGGCATTGTTATGCTGGAAACCTGACCGGAACTCTTACAGCTATTGCACCAGCCACAGTATCCTAATCGTCCACATTTATTACAAACGTCTACTTCGCACTGGTCACTCGAAACCATCAGACGTTCTACCAACATCATACTGAAAAAGTTTTTATTTAAGCAGTGTGAAGTTCTAATGTTTTAGAGAACGCTTTATTTAATTTAATTTGCTCCAATTCTTGAAAAATACTGTGCAAGACATTTTGGTGATGCATATATTGGTATTTCAGAAAGTATAATTTTGGTGATGCATATATTGGTATTTCAGAAAGTATAAGAAATAGAAAAATGGTTCAAAGAGCAGTTTTAGAAAACTATTCTGTTAAGTAGATACCAACTTAATGGTGTTGGCAGACCCCCTTTTTTGACACTTACAAAGGCAATGCCTATAATGTACAAATAACGGTACATACATAATAGAGAACATTCACATTAACGTCACAAAATAAAGGAAAGAGGCCATTACCCGCACATGGTATAACAATATTCCATTCGCGATTTACAAAGACTCCTTTGCCATCCTCTCTTCCAGATGGTTTTTAAAAATATTTGTAGATGTGGCAGATACTATGGATTACTATTCCAACGGGAAAACAATCTCTTTGGGAAGAAAGTTTTAACCTTTTCTTTAGATAACTTCTTGAGTTATCCAATACAAATTTTGCTAAAATAAATACTAATACTAGTCATGCTAGTCCCATTTCTTTGCCCTTATGAGTTTTATAAGCTAAATATAATTACTATACTTTCAATACCTCCTCACACATCTCATTATATTTAACACTTTTTTCTCATTAAATAGCTGTTGACCGAATGTGACTTGTTTTTCACATATGAAAAGATTTTGAAGATTGATGTTAACGATATATTCATCTATATAAGAGTTTCTAACAGAGAAAAAGCTATAAGAGGTTTGCAAAAGGCTGGAATTTTTTCTGTCGTTCCTAGTGTAAATCATAAAGAGGACTTTTACAATAATACTAGACACAAACCAGCACAAACTATGTAAGAACATAACATAACAGATATTTCAATAACTGGCAACAATATTCCATCGGAGCCAGTCCGAAAACATGATGAGAACGTTGGATGTCTAACTGATGGCATAGTCTTTCCGATATCAATTGAAGAACTAAGACATTGACTGCATGTACCAGGTTTGGTCGCTGACACAGCAACTCAGCATTGAAATATTTGAAATTTGTTCCCATATTTATTTAACCATACCCATCTACAGGTCTGGTCGAACTACACGTGGATGTGGTAGAAATGTATACACAAACAAAATCTAACACAATTCCATTGGGCTACTAAGCAATAAATCTCAGCTTTTGACAAGTGGTTGACAAATTGTCCAGTAGTGCAGTGCAGCAATGCGGAATTTGGTGTAATTTAGGTAATCTTAACTTTTTATAGGCACCTTCTATTAATCTTTTATATTGCAATTGCGAAAGGGAGAGATAATATTATTACGACATAGCATTTTGGAGACCTTTTGAAAGGAAACAAAACAAAATTTACCATCAATATAATATACAAATTATTATAATTTTTTAACTTTAGCAGAAAACTTTTTTTAGGGACGCCTATGAAAAAATAATTCCGAAGGAAAGAGGTACTAAGAAAAATAAAGCTATAAAAAGCAACCATTAGAAAATAGTTTGATTAGTCCAGAGAAATATATGATGAAATGACAAAAACATGTGGGAAGATGAACTGGATAATATGGATGTACGAGATATGGATTTTGATGGAATTGAAGGAGAACCGCATCTAGTATGTGGAGAATACAGAAAAATGGAATTTAATAACAATGTGTTGCCTCTGGTGCCACAAGTTACACAATGGATCGGAAACACCAAAAAATGATACTTATGATTTTTACGTAAATAAATTCTGTGTATTTTCTTATTAAATTGGATTATTGTGTTTCCTATAATTTATTTTTGCAAGCATTTCTTTCTACACTGCCAATAATTTCAGAATTATTAATTTTTTGCCTGAAGTGTTCACAATTACTTTTCGCTCCCCTAATAGGAATAAAGTCCACCGTTCAGTCCCAGATGCCCAGATCCCAACACATGCATCACCAGAATAATTCACGGGGTATATTGTTGACATACCTGGCACCATAACCTATAAGACAGTCTCTTTCCATTTCCCCTAATCTAAGACCTCCATCCCTACTTCTACCTTCTGTAGGCTGTCTGGTTAAAACTGCTCTAGGACCTCGGCCCCTAGAGAACGCTTATTAATATTTGAATTTTAAAAATGTAATGTATGAAATGGTGTAATTATTTTCATTAGGACCATTAAAAAAAATACTGATAGAGTTACCTTGCATGGATTTTATCCTGAACCATGTGCTTCAATTTCTGATAATAAACTGGACCAGAATAAATATATGCTTCTAGAGGTTCTCCTGTTATTCCAGAATAAAAAACATCTTTACCCTGATAATTAAAACCATGTTTAATCAGTTCTTCACTTACATCTTGGACTTTAGAACCACCAAATGCTGTCCCGTAATGAAATTTCCCTAAAACATTTACAATAGTCATCTATGGCGCTTTGAGCTTAGCTCAAAATAAAAAGAATATATTTTACCTTCAAAAAGCCCAGCTTTACCAGCTAACAATTCTATCAACTTCCCGACAGTCATTCGAGAAGGGTAACCGTGAGGATTCATTATAATATCTGGACAAATTCCGCTTTCATTAAATGGCATGTCTTCTTGTTCGACGACAAGTCCTAAAGAAATATACATATAAGTTTACCATATTCAGTAATAATACTTCTTGATTTAATTTATACCTACAACACCCTTTTGCCCATGCCTGGAACTAAATTTGTCGCCGATTTCAGGACGTCTAGTCTGGCGCAACAAAATTTTTATAAGGGTAGTGTCTTCTTCATTTGTGCTAATTAAAACTTTTTCAATGTAACTAGGTTCATTATTACGATAAGTAATAGGGGTGTCTTTGTATTCCACCGATGTATTTGGGCTGCCAGGAACCGCCGATATAATCGGTACTGATTTGTTAACCAAAACCTAGGTTTGACATTTTCTTTAGAGTGAATATACGACTTATAAGGTGTTTGATAAAAAACAGGCCATACTTTTATAATAACTTACTTGAATTCAATTATTATTTACCTTAATACAAAAGTACAAGATAATCTAAATACCAGGAACCTAATTTAAAATTTTAGTTTGAATATTTTCAACTTGAAAAATTAGCATGAAATTTAGTAATCAGTGGCATTTTAGGACAAGAAATTCAAACCTGTCGACAATTTAAATGTAATTAGTAGGGGGCACCACTTGTATTTCATATGCCTTTAAAATGCTTTAATATTTTTTTTTGCTTCACAGTAGATAATTTACAAACACAAATATTTCTTTATATTCCTTTTTAATGAAAAAAAACTATACCTTCCTCTCACTGCTAGTAACTAATTACATACAAACATGTTTGAAGAATAAAATTAATCACTGTTACGAAGTAAAAAAAAATCACTTTTTATTAAAACAGATTCAAATAATTGGCCTACTTGTCAATTATTTGTCACTTGTTTATACGTGTAATGGTATGTAGGTGGTTTATTGGTGCAATGGCAATTTCCCCTCATTTATCAGAAAATTTGTAACAAGACAAAGAAATTGCAAATAATTGTATATTTGAGAAGCAATGATTAAAGCATATTGACGATTGCGTTGAGACTTGGTCCAAATATATGACTTGTATTGCATTATAATAACAGTGTAAAAGGTGGTGCAATATTCCATTGCCAAAATTGTACGGGTGATTTTCCAAATGAAAATTAAAAAAATCATATGCACTTATGTCCTAAATGACTTATTCTTGAGACATAGGGTGTTACAATTTACATTGATGCAAATATCTTTGGAGAGTTTTAACATAAATTGATGAAATTTTAACTGGTGACAACTAAGTCAATGTAAATATTCACTGACTGGCGCACAGTGGTCAAAAATCCTAAAAACCTAATTGAAATCTAAAAATTTTACTTTTTTTATTTAACACCTAAAGTTACACGGTAGATACCCCTAATACTGAACTCATTTTTCAGAAAATATTGGGTCAATTTAAGCTTCCATATAGAAGTTATAAACGGTTAAATCTGTTAAAAATAACACGAATTATTGTATTGTTTTGTCTCTTGAGAAAAACGCAATGTTTGACAGCTTGTACAACATTTAGGCCTTTATATATTTAGTTACACTATACAGGGCTTAAAAATACGGTCTTTTGTAGTTCTCTTCATATAGCTGAGGTAATTTTTTAATTGAGTAATTTTCGGCAAATTCTCTAATTTAGGTCGTTATCTCATTTAGTACTACTCGTATACGAGACTATACTGCCATATACCTCTAAAATTAATGCCAGAATACCTGGGAACATAATTATACTTAATTTATCTGCAGATATTTGTAAATAAGGCTGTAAATGACCTATTTATATGGGCCGTACAAATGGATTTACTTCAGTTATTCACCTGCTTTTGTGTTGGACAATATTTAGTGTGCTCCAGTGACTTTACCGTTCTGTTTTTGTTTGTTCTGTGTTGTTATTTGCACTGGTTTTCTTTGTTTATTATTATCTTTTGTTACAATGGCTGATGAATCAATAACACGCCTGAAATTACATCAAATAATGATAGAATTTACACGCGAATCAGTCGAAGTGCGAAAAAACTGAGTGCTTGACTTTCTAACACAAATTTTGATGAAAATGCAATGGAAACCCTTTCCACATATACAGGAAATGCATTCTTTGGGCCTTATTTTGCAAGATGGAGAAAAATAAGTCGAAAAATGAAGAAATAAATTTCCCAAAGATTGTTGTTCGCTGCCTACAGGATTCTCGTAGTGTCTACATCAGAAAGGTGGTGGTCATCCCTCTAAGGATTTCAAAGATTGTTCAGTCGTTATTAAATGTAGACAAACACAGGAGATTCGTGAACAAATATCAAAATAGAATATATTACATTCCATTTCGACAGTCGTTCCAATTTTATGAATTTCAACTCCCTAAAAGGGGTTGAAATCTACAATATAGTGTAATATTATTACCTCCAGTGGTTTCTAGAGTATAAAAACCCTGGAATCTAGTTACTGATTTTGTAGGTTGACTGTAGTTTGATCTTTAAGTCATTGTACCTGCCAATTCTTAACGAGTGTTTACTGCCATAAAATATACATGTTACTTCATTTTTGGAGTTACTAACAAAGTGCTTAATTTTATTGAAATAATTCATAAAAACAATCAAATACAATAAAAAATGCTGGAGGTAAAAGTAATAAAGTTGAGGTTAGTACAACTTATTATAAAAACTGTTCAAAATGACCACAACAAAGGTTAATTCGGCGAAGAAACATTTATGACATTTTGAATATGCCTCCATAACTCAGTTCAGTGTTAGATGTGGAATCATGCCCTGTTGTTTTCAGAGTGCCCCAAAGATAATAGTCGCGAAGTGTCAAGTCTGGTGAACGTACAGGTCAGTTAACAGAAACATTATCCCTCTACAGATCCATCGACGAGAGAATCTTTGGTTCAGATACTGCCGAACATTTACAGTGAAATGTAGTAGAGCGCCATCATGCATAAATGATATGTTAGCTCTGAGTAATAACGGCACATCCTCCAATAACTCGGATTTTGCAAAGAAATCTAAATAAAATTCCTCATTTAGTCTATTGGGTAGAATAACAGGGTCAATAATAATGCTATCCCAAACAAGATCAAACTGAAATTACAGTTACAGTCAAAATCACAGCCTACTGGTACTTTGTTAAGTACTGTAATATGGGTGGCAAAATACATTTATAGAGATATACATTTAAATAATATTTTTTTGTACCTAAACCGCTCATTTAATCAAAATTCTACAAGAGGCCCAAAAACTTCCAAATGGTATCACCTATCAAATAAAAAATAGTTGTCATTATTGCCCGAAAGAGGAAAAGTTATGAACGGATATTATCACCAAACATCAATTTTGTAGTAGTAAGTTAAGTAAAAACGCTCTATATAACACCAAAATGTGTAGATTGAAAGCAAAAGTCCACACCCCAAAAATAATCAAAATCGAATAAGACATATTCAAGTTATTTACAAATTTCAAAAAATTTTCATGAACTTTGAGGCCATCTAGAGGCCAAACGAAGCGATTTTGGATATAGGTGAATTAGCCTAAATCTGCTTAATTCGAGTCCACAAATCTGTGGTCTTCCGTTGTACACGTTATTCTGGAACACCCTGTATATTTTTTAGGTCATTTGAAAGTTCTCATTTTTCAAAAACAGTTAGTAAAAAAGTTTTTCAGTACCTCTTCACTTTCAAATGATAAGAGACGATAAATACAGAGAAATTAAACTTTAGTTAGATCAAGTCTGTTACTGATTTTGTTAATGTTACTGTGAATTTTTAATGTTTACATCACTGTGTTCGCATCATAATACGTAAGTAACATAAAATAAAGTGAGCAATTAGAGCAATCAAGTCATTGTGAAACATTGTATGCATTGTTATCATCAGTTTCACAATCTGGGTGGTATAAGTTAATGATCTGCACCAGGCATATTTCTATAATGTACACTGAAAAATACATAATTAAAATTAAGCATTATTAATTTGATTTTCATCATTTCACTACTTATTCATTGTAACCTTGTACATGTTTAACAAAACATAAATTTTTTTATTTAAAAAAATTTTGCATTATAATTATATGAATGTGAAATAGTTACTTGTGACATTGTATATATTTCTCTTTTTATTAAAATATGTAAAAAATAAATACGTAAAGTGAAACTTAAAAAGCTGAAACTTTCTAAAGAAGTGCTAATCCACAAGATTTAAATAATTTTCTATAAAGTATGGCTCGTTCATTACCAAAAAAACCCATATACTTTATTTAATACTTCTAAGGATTACAGTAGAATCTCGATTATCTGTGCGCGGCTCATCTGTGCGGCAGATTCTTTGTGCAATGTGCAACATGGGACGAAAAAAGCGCTCAGAAACAAAAACAAAGACGAATCTCTACTTGTTTGCTTGTACGTATTATTTACCTACGCAATCTAGCATTTGGTTCGTGCACATGCAAAAAATTACTGATTTTTCCAACTAGCCTCTACATATTAACATCTTGTTGTACATACAATGTACCTAATGTTTGTACGTACATATGTATCAAGTGTTCATCTGATGGTGTAAACTACACTACTGTTTTGTACATTGCACTGTTATTTTGAAATAAAGTTGTGTTATTATTATTATTATCAACATTTTTATTTTTTATTATACATATGTATGTACTTACATAATATAATAGGTTATGTGCAATAAAGTTCATATTTTTTTTTGATTATCCAGCAACGGTTCGGTCACAACCAACCCGGATAATCGAGGTTCTACTGTAATTTTATTTTAAATGAAATATACATGATCACCTGTCTATTTTCAATTAATTCTCCTGGAGCCACAATCCCATCGTTATCCAACCGAGAATGCTTCCACATGGGTTGATTAGTTATACTATCGATCATGGGACCCTGGATTCTGTCGAATGTTTGATTAGCATATCGCTTCATAATGCATTTAGAATTTTTATATACCAAACACCTCCCAAAACCCCTATCTATGGAAGCTTTATTTAAAATTAAGGCGTCTTCTATATCATAACCGCTGTAACTCATTACAGCTATGATGGCATTCTGACCTGCCGGGAGCTTGTCGAAATTGATAAGTTCTATTGTTTTGGTTTTTACCATTGGTGCTTGAGGGTACACCAAGTTATACAATAAAGTATCCATTCTGTTTCTCTGATTGTAGCCAATCGTACCTGGAATAAGCAAAATAAAAATAATGACTGCCAAAACTTAATTGGGCATTTTATTTCAAAATTTTTAAATTACGTTTGTAAACACTTTTTAATAATTATATATCATATTTGACAGAAACTTTAGATACTTTAGGAAACATTACACTATGATAAAAGATAGTTTTTCATTAATTACCAGAGGCATACCGCAGTGGCGGCTCGCCAGGTGATGCAAGTGACGCACCGCTTCACCTAAAACTTGCATTTGGTTGTGTAATTTAAATTTATTAATTTTATATAAATTTTATAATTTAAGTATAATTTTATATTGGAAATGTATTGTTTATTTGTTTTATACGCAGAAATAAACAGAATATTTGCGCAGTGAACGCCTTTTAAAAAAACATTGCCTTCATTGAGCGCAAACATCAACCTCGTACCAAAACGTATAGTATATGCCAGTGATGCAGATTGAAATCAGTTTGTATCTGTTTCTCTTCGTAGCGTTGTTTACGGCGGTTGTCATGGCAACGAGGTGGCCAACATCGGAGTAAGTTACGGCGTGAGGGAACGAGTGACACAGAAATTGGAGCAGCATTGTCATCGCCCATCGCCTGGTATGCGACACGTCACCCAGTGCACGATTATAACGGTTCTTTATTAATATTGTGTTTTGTACCAATACCTAATTTGTAGAAATGTTTCATATGTATGATCCAGTACGTATTTTATTGGAAATGCCATTTTCCATATGAAAAATTGAGGACAAAAAGGATTTTTTAAATTGCGAGAGACCTGTGCCCTCTCTCGATGTGGAAAAAAGGGGGAAGTCAAAAGACAAAGTGTACGTTGAAGCTTCTTTGAAACATACATATACGGTGTGAGTTAATGTTCGCAAGCCGAACTAATATTTCTATTTTTTATAAAATCTAGATGATAATTCTTCATGTGAACCTCAGTTTTTCGGTAATATTGTAAATACAACTAAAAATTATAAATACATTTAAATCCGTTTGACCTTGAAAATTTAAAAATTTGGCCTGCGGCGCTTTTTTTTTTTTCTTTTTAGTCAATGTCATGAGCCGCCACTACCTACCATAGAGTCAGAGAAGTTCCTCTAAATTCTACACCAATGGGTGGGATCTTCATTTCAGTATCACTGAGCCGCATTAAATAATTTTGTTAACAAATTCTCTTTTCCAATGAAGCCGCTTTTACAGGTAAGAGAATATTTAATTAAAGGAATAGCCACATTTGTAATACAGAAAGTGCACATGTACTCAGAGAGGTACATTTCCAACATGAGTTTAAATACATATTTGGTTCATGAGGATGACCTCATTTTCCTTTGTGTAATTATGTAAACCAATTTCCTCAACTGTATTGAAGTAAATGGGGGCCACATTTGATATAAATTGTTAAATTTTTGTCCAACAGTAGGTATTCCAGCAAAAACGTGAAATAAGCTTTTTGAATTTTAGATGTTATTGATATTTCTAATTTTATTTTATTTAGTGAACATTCACTGACAAAATGACTCATTTTTGCTAGAATACCCAGCATTGATCTGTAGTTGTGTTTATTTTAAATTGATAATTGCCAAAATAATCAATATGAATATGAACAGTAAAGTAACATTAAAATCAGAATATCGTACAGCTCTATTTTTACTTCAATTATGTTGTAAAATAATCACTTCTGAATTATTCTTACCCATAGCTTGCTTCCCCATAGCACATTGATACGTGTTCCTAGGTGACTGGTTATGATGTGGGTACGGTACTAGTCCTGCACATACTCCCAATAGTGTAAATGTTGCAATTTCCAAATGAGTTGTTTCTAAAGTTATATCCTTTTCATAGCAAGCTATGAAACTGTCATTTTCTTCATTGACATCCAGAAACTCGATTAGTCCTAAAAAGTGGGAGTTTTAAGAATGAAAAAAAAATAAAGCAAATTTTATTACCATCATGTAAAAAGTCTTCAAACCCTCTCACTCCTTTTTCTAATTCAAGAATGTGTTTTTTTGTAACCAACGGTTGTCCATTTTCCACGACGATATAAGGTCTGCACAGTCTTCCTCCATCGGAGCTAATATAAACACACCTATGCAAATAGCTTGGATATATGGAAACGTAACCAGAAATATAGCCTTTCCTTCGCATCATACGAAACACATTTATTAATTTTTTATAGTTCCTTGTGACACCTAAAATATTACCTGAAAATTCAATTTCATTAGTCTTTTTCTACTCATTGGCTAATAAACTTACCGTTAAGAAAAACGATAAATGTTGATGGAGAATGTATCGACAAACTTGCTATCATATTGATATCTTGAACTCCAGCATTATTTGCTAACCTTGTTAAAGGGTATTCATCAACTTCAGTTGTTATATGTGTCATTAAGGCTAGATTTTTTACTAAACCACAAGCCTAGAAAGAAATATTGTAATTATTTTCTATAACTATTATTCATACACTGCGACATATAAAGGCATGCACAATTAAACCAGAGGAGTTTGAGGTATACCTCAATATTCCATATACATGGAACTGCTACAGATTCTAGGAGTGAAAATAAAACGATTTAATTAAACTTAAGTTTATCCAAATTGCTTCATTTAACACCAAAGTTGATAAAAAATAAAAAAAAAATTCTACAAACTCTAAAAGGTTTTGTGCAATTTAAATAAATATAGCATGCTAGTACTTGTACATTGGTTTTTTGACATAATAACCAAAGTAACTGCATTTTCAAAAATTAGAAAAAATATGAGGCATGTGCACATAAGAGTACTGAGACTCTGATGCTCTGTGGTTTTTGTTTTCAACAAAATTGGCAACACTGCATTCAAGGTGTTGTAGTGGTGTGTTGAAATGAGTGCTGCTATTCCGAATCCTGCCAACTGCGAGGTGAGCAGTGTAATCCAGATTCTCACACAATTATTTTATTGAAAGAGATATTTAAAAAAGTTGTTTTGCATTGGAATAAGTGCATACAATTGAACAGGGATTATATTTTAAAAACTACATTGTTATAACATATCTCGTATTTTATAGAATGAGGAAAATTTGAAATGAGGGCAAGTAATTTATTCTGACCAAACAGAAAATGGTGATCACATCCAATAACATTTGTAAAAACATTTGTTTCTGTACTCCACCACATTATTACATTTTTATTATCAAATAAATCAAACTGACAAATCATATTTGCATAAAAATTGCATTTGTGATGACTAAAGACAATTGCAATTTTTTTCAATTTATTGATAAAATAAGAATGAGACTGTAAGATTATCATCAAAAAAATATGAGCATATTTACTTAGAGATGAGTGTATTTTCCCCGTAATATAATGGCGGTTATGTCAAAACAAGTACTAGCATGCCAATTTAAATTACAGAAATCACTTTGGAGTTATTGGGAAGAAACTAAAATTTCTAACCGATTTTGATATCTCTTGCGGTTAAACGAAAATAGAGGTAAGTTTTTCTAAATAGAAACATTTTTACCCCAGCCCAGCAATGTAGTAGTTACTTTTTTACGGAATATTGGGACACCCTGTTATATACAGGGTATATACAAAATGTAGTATAAACTTTTTTTTTCGACATATAATCAACTACAACACGTTACAAGTTATGGGAACATCAGTGAGGAGTGTTTTAGTAACTATATGATTCTAGTTCTCTATAAAATTTTAAAATAAACATTACCTCTCCTTCTGGAGTATCGCTAGGACATAACATTCCCCACTGGCTTGGTTGCAACGATCTCGGCCCAGAAACTTTTCTGGTTTTTTCAAACTGAGAGTTCACTCTTGTCATCATACCTAAAGCCGAGATGAAACTTAATCTTGAAAGCACTTGGGTTACTCCTAGCCTTTCCATTCTGAAACGTTTAATGGTCCAGTTTCCCTACGACAAATCAAAGAAAATGTATTTTGTGCACTATCAAATGTGTTCCATTAAAGAAATATTGTACTTATGCTATAGAAAAAATTTAATAAGAATACTATTTAAAATTCTAATTTGGAGGTGTATACATCTATAAAATAGTTTGTGTAAACCAGTGTCATCCCAGAAATAAAAGAGACATAAAGAAAACATGGAAAGATCTTTCTGCTCATGATTTTTTAACTTTATATGAAAAAAGTTTGTCTAACTATCTAACATGCTAAGCAATGGCGGCTTTTGACTTCCATACCAGGGTGGTCGGAAATATTTAGGTACAAGATATTGAAATGAAAATCAAATATAGTTGGGTAGTTCTGCTTTTCTCCAATATAAACTTTTCAACTACTTTTTCATTACAGTTTGGTATTTCTCGCACCATTGATTTTTCAATAGATAGCATTGCAAGTGCTGTTGGTCTGTCTTTAAATCAAATTTAAACTTTTACAATATTTTTAAAAACACTAAAGAAACTATGCGTAGGTAACAAAATTTTACACCACATGTAAACAAATTATATTTAATAAGAAAAGATAGCGGTGACAAACTATTATTTGGTTACGGTCGACCTAGGCAGATCCCAAACTGCATAGTAAATAACACTACACCTACTCCGGCTTTCACTGCCGCATGACGGTAACCATGACCACTGCTGTAAACACTTCGAAATCGAAATCTAGTTAATTTAACATTTCCTTTTTAATGTGTTTCATAAGACTATTTAATTCATTTGAAAAACCCTCATAGTTTGCCCCTAAATCTATAAAGTGTTTATAGCAGTGGTCATGGTTAGTCACGCAACAGTGAAAAACGGAGTGGGAGTAGCACATATTTACTATGCAGTTTGGGCTCGGTTTAGTAAGCGTGTAATCAAATAATAGCTGTTCATCACTTTTTTTCTTATTAAACATAATTTGTTTATGTGTGGTGTAAAATTTTGTTACCTACGTATTGTTTCTTGTCTGTTTATTAAAAGGTTGTAAAAGTTTAAATTAGTTTGTAAAGACAGACTAACACCAATGCTATCTATTGAAAAATCAATGGTGCGAGAAATACCAAACTTTAATGAAAAAGTAATTGAAAAATTTATTTCAGACCAAAGCAGAATGGACCTTCATTATAAAAAATAATGTTGAACAAATTTTCCCCAAATTTCAATAGTACTTAAAATAACACTAACTTTTTTTTTTACTGTACCTAAATTTGTCTGCCCTTCCTGGTATGGTAGTCAAGAGCCGCCATTAAAAATCAGTCACTTCATTCGAAAATTACACCACCACCTATAGTTTTTTTTTCAAACACTTACTGAAAACAACATATTACTTAAAAATCTTCAATATTTTATTTTTATAAAAGATCTCACTCATTTAATAAGTATATTAAATTAAATAAATAATTCTTACTGTGGATATGGCAAAAACTAAACAATTTGTAATTAAATCTGATCTCATGTATTTCACCACATCAAACTGAGTTGCTCTTATTTTTGGTATTGTTTTTTCGGCAATGGCTTTCAATTCCCAGTTAAATCTTTTAAACACATCTTCAAACATTAGTGAAATCAGAGATCCTGCCAACTCCAGTCTCTTGTTCCCATAATAATCTCTATCATCGAGAAACTTCTTATCATTTTGCGCTTCAATGACCCTTTTCACCTAAAATATTAACAAAATGAACTTTGAGTTTAATAAAAAAAACTGTTACCAACCATGAGGCCCAAGTAAATAGCCTTCAATCTAAAATTATATTGTTCAACTGGTACGTGAGCTAAAACAGTTGTAGCCAACAGATCTCTGGCCTCATCCATAGGAGATTTCATTTTGGATGCAGTTGTTACGTAGCGTTTTGCTACCAATTTTGTTCCTAGATATCTTAAAGCAGATTCTTGGGTATATATTTTTAAATTATGACATTCCTCCAGAGTTGGTGTTAATTTATGTATGTCTGGTATACCAATCAGTTCACAAATTTCTCTGTCACTGATTACATCCAATGCTTTAAAAATAACTGACACCGGAATAGGCTAAAAAATAATAAAATTTTCACTACACCAACTGATTTAAGATAACAAAAATTTTTACATCTGAGAAGGTGTTGTGGCCCATAAAATACTTGTTACCCTTTACAAAAACATTGGTCCTCGATTTCTTTTCATGGGTAGAACTAGTGACCTGACATTGAATTCCAAATTTGGCTTCCTCAACAATCATTCTATTCTTAGAAAGTTGTTCTTGAATTAAGATGACTTTTTCTTGCCCTTTCACAACAAAGTAACCTCCAGGATCTAGAGGACATTCGTTCATCTTTGCCAATTCATATTCCGATTTATTACTTAAAACACAGTTAGAGGATCTTAACATAATTGGCATCCTACAAAATATTTTTATATGTAATAACTATACAAGATAGTGCTGTGAATGACATTATTTGTATTGTATTGTTTGTTATTCATGAGAAAATTACAGATTATTAAAGGGTATCTTAGATCATTTAATTGAAATGGTGAAAGCAAGCGCAAGTGAGAACATTCATGAATGGACTGATGTAATTCACAAATGCTTTCACTTCACAGCTCTTAGCAAGTGAGCCAGCTGTTATGACCAAATCATTCATGAATGACACATCACTAGAGGAAAGTTCAGCACTCGTTATCCCCGGCAATTTGGTTAGCAGTAATTTTTATATAAAACTTAAAATAACCTTCCAATGAGTAAACCAGTCTTAGACACCCTTTGTGAACCTCTCGTATATTCAATGTCAACAGATATAGGAGCAGAATAAGTTATGTCTCGTAGCCGACATTCATGAGGTGTTGTGGGTTTGCTAATATTAAAACCTTCGTCGACATCTGGGGTACCCACATGGACATTTGTATATCTAAAAATGAACAAAAAATAAAAATGAACAGGACAAAAATGGAGCTGCTCACTTTATATAAAACAAAGGGTCTGCGTCACAGGTAACTTTATTATTAGCTTCAACAATTTTCTTTATATCCACATTAATAAAATAATTAAATGAATCTATATGTTGCTTAACTAGTCCTTTAATTTTCAAAAATGCAGGAACAAGTTTTGATTTTTCCTGAAAAAATAAGTATATAAACAATATTGCATTATAGAAACATACTACTACCTCTATTTCTTTTATAGGTTTGTGATAATATTTTGGATCACCAAAAATATTTAAATTTGATTCTTCAGGCATTTTGAAATTAGACCGGTTCCTATTACTACAAATTTTGCAACTGGTTATGGTTGAGCTAGATTTTAGGTTATATGTCTACTGTCTCTGTTAGGGTCTCTGTCCAGTTGTCTCTTCTTCTTCTTCTTCTTCTTCTTTTTTTGGCCTTCACCCAGAGGGTATTTAGCCAGCTTCTTATGTATTATGTACTTGTTTTTTATTCAAGGGAATGCACCGTGAAGTGCATCTGAGATTGATTATTCATTTGATTCTCGTGCGAGCGGTCGAACTGAGCGGACGTGTTTATTGTAAAGTGAAGTGCATTGCAACGAGCAAGATCTACCTGCCTTTATTAAGGCTACCTGGAAAGTATCCTTTTCTTTCCTCTTAACCACCGACCTAATCCCCGGCTCAAGCATAGAGGCCGT